AATCTGTCAGATCTGCCAGATTGACTAAATCTGCTCTGCCATATATGTAATATATGTTAGGTATACGATAAAAGACCAATTATTACATTTATTATTTTTATTTTTATTTTATTATTATTATTTTATTTCTTATAAATAGGGTAGCTTTAGAACTTTAATAATATGGGACTTTGGAGAGGAACTTTTAAGTAAAAAATTACTTTTAATACTATCGTTAATAAGATAAATACTAAACATATTTGTATGCTAACAAATACACTTGTAATAATTCTTTTCTTTAATAAAATTCTAAATTACTTCCATAAATTATACTTCAACTTGAAATACATTTGATCGACAAATCTTCAGAAACTTTTCATAAATCATATTATAAAATCTTAAAACTAAATCCTTTGTTAATCTTACGTCAATACTAATTTTCAGTCATTAGTATCATAAGATAACAATATTAAACTTAGTGTAAAAACAGTTAAGTGGTGTCTTTATAAGATTAGAGATAAGTTTACTAATAAAATTTATAAACTTTACTTACAAAAATATATTAGAAGAAACAGTTATAATAGATTAAAAAAACTTGAAATTTTAATTGGAATCAGATGATTTTTGCAGATAAAAATATTTTTAACCATTTATCTCAAAAAAAAATCTGGTTTCTCATTCGTATGTTTTTTTATTATTTCCTTTAATTGCTCATTAAATCGCTTTTTATACTGATTCTAGTGACTTTAGTTTAGAATCATTGAAGTAAAGCTGCATAACTTTAAGATATCCAAGATATAATCAGTTTTTTACAGAAGTTGACTCAAAGTACTGTAGTTTTCTAAAAGAAAAAAATTCTTATGCATCTGCCAAAAGTCTATGTCTTTCTGCTTTAGGATTTGGTAAGTCAATTTTTTTTCAAAGAAATCTTAATGCTGATTTTATGTGTACTATTTATAAGAAGAGTCTTCTGAAAAATAATAATCTGAAATATTATTCAAAAATCATAAAGAAATAAAAGAAAAAAAATAATGTTAAAGTACTTTCTTATCTCTAAACTAAAATTTAATAGAAAATATTTGTAGTTGGAAAAAATCAACATAAAAAAAAGTTTTTGTCAATTAGAGAATTAAAAGCAAAACATGAATTTAATTTTCACCTGAACTTTCATAAAATTAGTAAACAGTATGAAGTATTGTATAGTAACACTTATAATTTTAGATAGGAACTACATTATGTATTAATTTTAGTTAGTATTGACATGTATTTAAATTAAAATTTTTTAAATTTGCTTATCTATAGCTAGAATTAGAATTGTTTAATTACTTATGATCACTACTATATATAAATTTATAATTAAATAAAAAAAAAGTTATTAAAACTAATATATATCAAAATTATAACTTTATTCAAATTAATATCAATTATATTTTCATATTATTTATAAATTATAGAAGCAGATAAAAGTAAAAATAAAAAAAGAAAATTAAAAGGATCTAATGATATATTATATTTTAAATGATAATTATTATACAAAATGTAAATTATCTTATTTTTTAAATTTAAATAATAATTTTAAATTAAATTTTAATTAATAGTCTGATATAAATATTAAATATAATTTTAATAAAATAAATTTTTTAAAAATAATTTTAATCTATTAATTAATAAAATAAAAAAATAATTTAAATCAATTAAAAAAAAATAAATTATTATCAAAATATTTATATAAAAAAAATAAAGACTATTATATTTAGAAATTAAATTAAATTTGAAGAAAATGAATCACAATTAAAAGGTTTTTTTGATAAATTAGTTAACATTTTCTTTCATCAAGTAGAAAAATTAATAATATTGAAAATAGTAAAAAATTACTTATTGGATTTTATTATTTATTATCTAATTTAAAAAACAAGTTTAATAATTTTTTTCTAAGAAATTAGACTTTATTTATCTTTATGTGATATTATTTCTGAATCTATTAATATAATCAGGGTTGGGAAGTACAGTGTTAGTACAATGATTAGTACAGTTAATACAGTTAGTACATTATAATAATTAATATAAAAATTAGTACAAGTACAGTACAAGTACAATGATAATTTTATCTAGTACATACAAAATTCCCAACTCTGAATATAATAGTAAGATTTAAAATTTCTGTATTTTATAAAACAGTAGAAAGATATATCAGATATTATTTAATAAGATAAATAATATTTTGAAGAAAATAAAAATTAATTATTTTATCTAAATATTAATAATTACCATTTAATATATTATATAGTTATATAAATCCAAATATAACATTTCTTTTATATATATATCATATGGTAACATGTATTACATGTATTGCTAAAACTATTGAAAAAAATCTCCTATACTAATAATAAAAAATAATATTTCAATTAATATTATTTATTAAATATATATTTTGATTTATTAAGTCAAAATTATAATACAATAGATATAATTTATAAAATAATAATTTAATTATTATGAAAAACTTTGATAGAATAGAACTTTTAACTATTCATTCATATGATGAATCTATAAAATAATCTAAAAACTATTGAAATGATAATATATATTCCTTTATTAAATACTTATTTTTTAAAAAAATATAATACTAATTATTGCTAATTTTTTAGATCAATTATTTATAAGAAAAGTAATAACTTTATTTAATAAACAAAAAAAAAATTTTTTAACTAAAATTTCTAATATTATTGTAACTTTATTTTAGTTCTTGAACTATTATATAGATTACTAAATATGAAAGAAAATATAATAGGTAAAAAATATATTAGCAAAAAAACCCAAACTTTAAAGAATTAATTTATTTTTAAAATTAACAAATTTAGCATAAGTTAAATTACTATAGAAATTTTTCATAAATTTGGATCACTTTGCAAAAATATTAAATTTCAAATATTAATAGATATATTAGATAATTTAATACTTAACTTAAAATATCTATAATATTATATTTCAATCTGAATCTTATGATCAATATATAAGTATAATTTTTAGATTATAGATATTTGCTTTAAGATGTGAAAAAAAAAATAATAATAAAATTTTATTGGCTTTTCTTTCAGATATTTTTTATTGGAAAAATAATAATTATACATATTTTAAAACAATTCAATATTATCTTGTTAATTTAATAATTATTACTAACGATGGGAATTGTAATTAATATGTTGCAACTTTTAATGTTGCAACTTACGTTGCAATTAGTTTTAACCTATATATGTTGCAACTTATAATGTTGTAACATATGTTGCAACTAATTTTAGTTTATATTGCAACATTTTGTAAATTTGAAATCAATTGCTGTACCATCTTTAATTATTACATTAAAAATTGAAATAGTAAAATTAGAAGAAATACAAATTTTCAACATTCTTCAAATTCTATAATTTCTCAAACATTAATATTAGAATCACATAATCAAACATTTTTTAATACTTTTAAAACATTTAAAAATTATCATTATAAAAAATCTACTATAAATTATTTAAAATATTAAATAAGTATATTTTTAATTGACTACTTTTATTAAATTTTTAAAAATTTGAAAAAAAGTATAAAAATGAATATTATTGATAATATTAAATTAAAAAGTAAATTAAAAAGCTTACTTATAGATACTATATGTTTAAATCACCATCTAATAATATTTGTGATTATTGTAATTAAAAATTTAAATGTTTAGATAAATAAGAAGATATATATTACTATGTAATATGCTTTTCATTACAAATATTATGAAAAATAAATAATGAATGTAATTATTATTTAAGAATTTTATAAAAAGAATGTTTGTTATCTTTAATGTAAAATCCTATATAAAAAGATTAAAAAAAAATATTATTATTAATAATATTAATAATAGCTTATTAGATTATAAAATATTAAATAATTAAAATAAAAAAAAGAAAGTAGAAGAAAAAGAAGAAAATCTAATCTATTAGTAGATTTTAAAAATGCTTTAAAATTTATAAAAACTTGGTAAAATATATTTTAATATACATATATTAATTAATAAAATCTTAAAACTTTAGCTTTTATTTAAGTTTTGTTAGAGTGGAGATCACTAGATTATTTTTTTTTACCTAAATATAAAGAAAAAAACAAATGACATAATAATGTAAAAAAAAAAATGCATAATTATAAATTAGATTTTGAAAAAATATTGCATTTTTTATTATTTTAAATAGATTAATATTAAATGTTTCATAATATAAAAAAGATTAACATTTGACTTTATCACTAGATGATATAATGAATTTCTATTATGCTTATAAATTCAGCTTTTTTATATAGTTTTTTTTATTTGTTTTACAAATACATTCTAAAATATCTCAAATAAACAATAAAAACAAATATTATGAATATTCATGATCATAATTAACTATACAAATATTATTATTTTTATCATATTATATTTATTATTAATAATATTTACTATTATTATTTCTTTAGACGTATTATGAATGTTAAGTAAGGTTATATACTAGTATAATATAAAATATTATTAATTTTATCATAAAATTGAATAAATTGGTATTGTTAATTATTATATGAATGAAATAACTAAAGATTAATTATGACAAATTTTTATAATTATAGATAATTATTACATGATTATTAAAGAAATAACCGGTCACAATTTCAGCCACGGATATTACTAAATCTGAATATGGAAGGTGCATTTAATAATCAATTGTAAACCTTACCATTTTTATTTGGTTAGAATTGGTTCCTTTCCTTATTAAGTGCCATAATAACCACATGGTGAAAAATCCAGATTTCGGTAAATTATAAAAAAGTTTATTATACATAAAAAGGAAAATTCCAATGGTTTTCCGCCGATATATTCTAATTTCTCCTTTCCTAGAATTCCTTCGTGTATTGTTTAGAATTATATAAATATAGGCCGGGTTGTAAAGCTGAAATTTATCAAACATAATAAATTTATTCCAAAAAGTACTTTTTTTATTTTAACTTTAAAAATGTCCCACAACAGAAGGTCTCGTCATGAAGAAAAGCAGCGTCGTAATGTCGAATTCCGAAACGAGATGAAAAACCAACTTAAGCAATTATTTTCTACATTATCGGTAGGAACGACGACACAATATAATAATGATGTTTCTGGTCATCCAAGTAATTCAAATGTCCCTAATATTAATTATAACAACACACAAACAATTCAAATGTCACCTGAAAGAGTTGAACAATGTGTTTTGACTCTGAGATCCATATTTCCCGATTGCGAACCAGAATTCATTCGAGATTGTCTTGAAAACGAAACGAATGATCATTTACACAATGTAGCCGAAAGGTTATTAACAACACCATATCCTAAAGTAATTCCAGAAACACCTTTAACGCCTTATACTACACCGACACACCTAGAACTTGACGAATTCCTTTTCGATGATGCGCCACCATCATATGAGGAATCATTAGAACAACAATCCCCACCTTTGCCTGTACGCCATCAAAGAAACTCACCATTAATTGCACGATCACAAGAATCACAAGCACAACCTTCACGTGACACAACGAATCCAACTTGCGCCGTTGTTAAAACTTTCCTCTCAATTTTCAAGCAATCTACAATTTAATGAGCTTACATAAATATAAATGTTGATAAGAGTAAAATAAATTGCTATGCTTTATTTAGTAAAGAAGGCTTACTGTATTTCTGATTTCAATATAATCAAATAAATAATTAATTATCCTTTTTTGATGATTCCTAATATGTACTACATTTATCAAGATTATGTAATTTGACTTCGCCGATTTCCTTTTAAAAATACAATTTATTTTAGTCATCATGAAATCATGTAATAATCATCCATAAATAATAATTTGTAGTAGAGTTTTCCTTGAACGGATAATATCTTAGGATTGAATCCGGATTATCCTATTATCCGATTGTATCGGTTAATTTTTGAACGGATATCCGGATTTACAATTTACAAAACGGATAATTCTATAAAAAATTTAACATGCATGCAATAATACCATAACTGGGTTAAATGATTAACAAGACTCTGCTTTTGCATAAACGATCTTGTTTAGAGAGAACAAAGAAACTTTGAAATCACTTACAGAATATCACTTACAAATATGTCAACTGAAAGAACATCAAAGAAACGTGCATGGTCTAAGGTTGATGACTGTATTGAATTTATTGATAGAGAAGTATCCAGCTTCATCAAATACACTTTTTATATATCCATTTAAATTTCTATTATCAGTATCGTTGGGTGTAAAGGTTTTCTATATCAATAATATCTTGATTGGGGGTGAACGAATAAATCATCCAATGGATCCAAAAAAATTTTTATTTGTATGTAACCAAAAATTAGATATTGGTGAAAATTGTAATATAAAAATTGAAACAAGATGTTCAACTGGTAATATTTTTAGTCATCTTAATCGGAAACATAAATTTTTTGAACACTCCTCGACCATTACGCCATCTTTAAAACAAGTAAAGATCAATAATTACACCGTTTTGTTAATTCTTCTTCAAAAATGACATAAGATCGGCAAAAAATATTTGGAAACCTTCTTTTTGAATGGTTTATTCTAAACTTCCAACACTTTATCTTCTAAAATCTCATTCCTTTCATCAATTTATTAATGCATTAAATGAAAATTTGAACTTCCAACATATAAATTATTTTGTAAAAAAATTTTTGAGGCATTTGAATTTTGTCAAATGCAGCTTAAGCAATATATTCATAATAATGCAAAGTTTCACTTACATGTGATCTTTGGACTTCTCAAAATAAGCAAGGATTTCTTGGTATTCATGTCATTTTATTACATCTGATTTTGAAATGAAGAAAATAACTTTAGCTATTTGATATATACCATATCCACATACTGAAGATGCTATTCAAAAAGTTTTAAAGGTTATTTTTAAATGGAATTGCAAGACAAAGTTTTTTGCACAATAGATAATGCTTCTAATATAAAAAAATGTCACAATCAAATTTTTTGATTACAAAGATTATTATGCACTGCTCATACAATTCAACTGGTTATTGAAAAAGAACTGCTTACTGCTGAAATACTAATTGCACATACAAAAAGATTGATCAATTTTTTACTTTTCTAAAACAAAATGAATGCTTTCTTAATGCACAAAAAAATAATTCTGAAACTACAAAAGAAGAAAGTAATTTGCATACAATTTTTTATAGAGTAATTAGAGATATTGAAACATGTTGATCAAGTACATATATAGCATGAGAAAGGTTAATAATTTTAAAACCTTTTATTAATATTGTTATTTCATTATTAAATGTAAGTAAAGATCAAAATTCTATAGAAAATATAAAAAGATTAACAAAAAATTAATCTTACTAATGATAAATGGGAAATTATAAGAGACTTACAGTCAAACCTTGATATAGCAAACCCTTGATATAGCGAATTTTTAAATCAAATATATTAAAATTACCTTAACTATAGTGAACTAGCCAATTAAATTCTTTAAAAAATTCGTTATAAGCTTATAATGAAGTTGATATTCAGATCCTAGAATTCGTTATATCAAGAGTTCACTGTATTTAAAATTTTAGAAAATTTTGCTAAATTAACAGAAATATTAAAAGACACAAAATACGTAATGATGAATTTTATGTATCCATGTTTTATTAGACTTAAAAATTTTTTTGTTTTACAACAAAATTTAATAATAATAATTTGAATTTAGATTTGAAAACAAATAACAATATATTTAGGGATCATCAATTTGAAAAGGCTGGTAGGGATAATGGATCTGAGGTTAGGCGAGGAGTTGAAGTAGATATTTCTGTTATTACCATTGGTCTTTTAAATAATATTAAAGCAAATCTTTATAATTTACTTGAAAAATATTATAAAGTAATTAAAAAAGAAGCATTAATTGCAACATTATTAAATTTATACAAAAAAAAATTTCAAATAACGATAAAAGGAATTAGTAAAAGCTAATCTTAATAAAGTGAATTGGTAAAAAATGATAATAACGTCTAATAAGAATCACTTAGGCTAAAACTAAAAAAAAAGTAAAATATTAAAAGCATATATTTATAAAAAAAGCTTATTTTCAGATGATAGATTTTATGATAGTATGTAAAATGAAGATAAAATCAAAAGATATCTAATAATAACATAAATTTCAAGTGATAATGATTCTTTAAAGTGATGAAATGTAAATAAGAACCAATTTTAATTTTAGCTCTAGATTAAATGTTTGCAAAAATAACAAGAATAAAGAAGAACTTATTTGAAGCTTTAATTTTTTAAAAAAAATAGTATTTAATAGATAGAACGTTTAATAATAATAATTAATAAATAAAAATATTTTTTATTAAATGTAATATTTGGGAGACAGTCAGTAGAAAAGGGGGAAATCTAAATTTTGATCAAAATTTATATTATTAGACCACTTAGCTAATCACAATTATGTATACAAATTTGGCTTAATAATAAAAATTAACAAAAATTTTGGATTTCCCCCTTTTCTACTGATCGCCTTCCATTTGTAATATTTTAATATGTACATAATACATAAATATTATAATAGTTATATTCATTAATACTAAATATAAGTTTGGTAAGTATCATTGTTAATAATTAAGTTTTTAATAAAGAATATTAAAGAATTTTTAATTGAGTTTATATATAAGAATCAATATTTCTCTTCAGTAATAAAAAATCATAAACGAAATGATTATTAATAAATTCTATAAATTAATAAATAATAATAAATTCCAACCAAAAAATAATTATAAACTCAAACAATATTAATGAATAAATTAAAGTAAGTATAAATTAAAGAAAATAAAGTAAAAAAATATTACTGGAATTTTTATCTTTTATAAATAAAAAATAAAAGGATCATTATCATTAATGTCTGATTGCAATTTAACAACTGATTAATATAATATATAAATTATATGAATATGATTATTATTAGATAAATCTGAAAAATCAAACTATATATTCATTATTTTAGAATAATTCAAATTATTCTAGAATGGTTTATCTGGATTACTAATATTCTATTTAATAGGATATCCAGATCTCAAAATTTTCAAACAGATTATTCTAAATTATTCAGAAAATAATCTGATAAAAACTTTAATCTCATGTTAGCCTTTATTTATTTATTTTAAAATATATATACAGAATATACTATATATGCTATATATAATCTTAATAAATAATTTTATTCATTTTTAAATATATCGAAAGGTGATAAAAGTATTATACAGGTTTGATTTAGATATTTTAGTTAATTTATCATATATAACTAAACCATATTTTTTTTTTAGTAATACTGTATATTAGCTAACTTATGCTTAATAAAATATTTAAATAATTATTAAAATTAAAGTAATGCAAGGTATATTTTCAAATTTTATTTTACAACATATTAATTCAAATTTTAATAAAAATATTTCATTTATGTAATTGATAATCAATCAATATATTACTAAAAAAAATATGGCTCAGTTACATATAATAAATTAACTAAAATATCTAAATTAAAACTGTATAATACTTTTATTACCTTTAAGTATATACATTATATACTGTATATATAATCTAAAAAGAATTAATTGTAATTTAATATTATAATTTAATTTAAAAATTTATTTTATTTAATATTAACATTTTTAATTAAATTAAGATTAAAAGAAACTTATTAATTTTATAAATTTTGAAATATAAAAATTAAAGCTAAAAACCTAATAATTTTTTAATAATTATTCATTTTTTTTGATAATAGTTATAGATTATATTTTGATAATTACACTTTAAATTTAGCATTTTTTTTTTTTAGTAAATAATTTTTATAATTTCTCTTTTGTATATGTAATAAATAATTTATTTTCTTTTAATTCAGAAAATAATTATAATAATTATTGATTGAAATTTTAGATAGATTAAAAAGTTTTAATTAAGGATGCTTTCTAAACCTTTTCAAAATTTTATAATTAGTTTTGGCAAAATTTTAATAAGCACTTAATATAATTTCATCATAATTTCTTTAGTTTTAGCATTTACTATAATAGTTTTAACATTTTGGCATTTTAATTATAATTTTAATATAAGTTTTACAAGATTTAATATAGTTTTAACAAAGTTTTATCATTTTAGCATTTCAGCAAGTGAAAAAACTCTCTAGTTTTTCTAGTAATCTATTTAATAATAAAAATTATAATATTTTTTAAAAAATAAATTACATAAAAAATTATTATTTATTTGACTACTTACAATTATTTAAATTGTAAAATTTTAATATACTAATTTTAATATTTAATTACTAATAATTTATTTACAAAGTATATATAAAATTTTATGTAAGTATCTCATAAAATCTCAATCTTTTTATTGAAAATATTAATATTTAATTAGATAGTCAAAACTATCTATTATTGTTTAATATATTTTTTATAAAATTTATTAAATTTTTAGATTTAATTTCATTTTATTTTTCTTTTAAAATTATTATTTATTTCTTAATATTTTTTGAATGAAATATATATACCTAAACTTTTTTTTTTCCAAATCATTATATATAAAAATAAGAACTGATTGCAATTTTAATATTACAATATATGTTATAATTAATTATAACTTATATATATTGCAACTTATTTTAGCTTACAATAAGTTGTAAATTTGAAATTAATTATTACATAATCTTTAATCGTATTTAATTAGATTAAAATCTGAATTTTATAAAGATTACAAGAGATTTAATACTGAATTTCTTTAATTAACAGCTTCTTCTTCATTAATCTATATATTATTATGTTATACACAGTTTTAACATTAAATAAAGGTTAATATAAATAGAAGATTTATGTTAAAAATTGATATAATAAAATATTGCTTTAATATTAGCATTTCATATAATCAGATATATTTATATAATTAAAATTTTATAAAGTTTGTAATGAATGTAAAAGAAAATTACTAAAATTAATATTATATATTATTGCTATTTAGGAATATGTTATTGCTTTCAAGTGAAAGTCTACTATTTTTATATCTGCAATTCAGCAATAACTAACTGTTTAGAAGTTATTTTAATTATAAAGTATATTTGCTGGATAGTATATTTTAGCTTGAAAGTTAATTTAACTATCAATCTTCAAAAATATAACTAAATATTGAGAATACATTTTCTAGAATAAATAAGAAATGATAAAATAATCATATTATTAATAATTTTAATATTATCTTGAAAATGTATAGTAAATTATTTTTAAAACTATTTTTAAAGGTAAAAAAATATATTTTAATATATATATATATATAATATCTATAATTCTATCTAAAATTTAAATTAAAGACTAAGCTTATATTTTACAAAACATTTTATATCATAACACCTTAATTTTTTGATTTATTATTAAAATTAATAATTTATATTAAATTATGTAATTTATGTTATATAAAAGATGAACATCATTTTGTAATAATAAGAAGTATAATTCATTATATCATAATTAAATCTCATTCAAAATTCCAATTTTTTCTTTTATAATATCATTCTAGTCTTTTTTTACAATTTACTTCAAAAATTAATAATTTTAGCTCAATCCAAAATCCCTTAAAATATAAATACAATTTATATTATTATGATATATTAGAACAATTAATAAGTTAAATTTTTGAAGTAATTTTATTAAAGCATTATTTGCAATCTTATTTAACAATTTTTGTAATATGGGGCCTTTGCAATAGAAAGGGGGGAAAATGCCGGGAAAAATTAATTTTACTTTATATGCCAAATATGATTTTTATGCTGAAATATGTTCAAATTTAGTATTAACTCACTTTTTATTTTTTCGGCTGTTTCCCCCCTTTCTATTGCAAAGGCCCCATATGTCTAACATTTCTTTCTATATGTTTTAGCAATCTATCTGGTTGTAAAGCAGCTATAATTTGGTTTGTATTTTTATAATTTGTTAATATCATATATAATTGACTTATAATAATAGAAAATATCTGCAATATTTCATTTTTTATGACCTCCTTTCCAAAACCAATTTCAGTATCTCTGCCACTCAAATTCAGATAGTTGTTACCTTTTAAACATTAAAAAAAATTTTTTTTTTTTTATATTTTCAAGTAATTGACAAAAATACGGAAAAAAAAAATGTTCTAGTTTTGGCGTAATCTTAACTTTAAAAGTTTTAGATCTGCAATGGTCGGATATTTAGTGTTACCTTGATCTGACGATCATACTATCAACCATGATTAGTTAAGGGAATTCTGTAACAAAATCCTGAAAAAATAAAAATGCTTCGTTTGCTTTGAGTTTCAATAGAATTGAATTAGAAATTTTCTTTTCTTTAAAGGTTTATTACAACTGTGCCAGTTGAGGCATTAATCGTTGTATTTTACTATACTTTTATTATTAAAAACGAGTTTTTTCAATCTATTATCTTTTAATTGTTCGAAATTTCCCAAATTTCGTTAATATTGTAAATTGTTGACAATCGTTTTAATCGTTTATAATAAATTATTCATTTAAATTACCTCATTTGTGAAATCAGAAGCTATCACAAGCTCAATTGCCGATTTTATTTTTAGGTGAAAAAAAAAATCATCTGAATTGTTTCATAAATTTAATAATAATTAAATTATGGAAGAAATTCATCTAACGAAAATCCCGTTGAATTTTTTTTATTTGATTTTCAATTCGTTACAAATGTACCCTACTTACCTCTAACAATTAGTTTTAAACGCTGAATGATAGCCATTCCCTTGAATATATTCGTAATAAAGCTTTTTCAATAGCTACAGAAATTTCTCAAGATGAAGAGCAATCACATGTAACAAAGAAGGTTAAGTTAAATAAACCTAAAACGTAAAACTTTAAATAATCGGGTACCCGATATAAATAATGATGCGGATACTCTGGTGCAATTAGTAGACGGTTCCAATCTCTATTCGTGCTAGAAATCCATGTTGTAAAGAATTTCCTGCAATTTAAGAAATCGCTCTTGCGAAATAATACAGTTTATTTACAGGAAATTCGTGTAATTATGTAATGTTTATTTTATTCAATTATTTTTATTCTTATAAGGGTATTCTTAACATAGTAGAATCTATTTTATGCAAATCGCTTTTTATATCTGATAATGTTTCTTGACATGACAGATATTAGTTATGGACAAACTAGAAGCTATTTTAATTGAATCTTCAGATGTAATATAACGTGTATTTTCGCTGCATTAACGACAAGGTTAAGTATGTATTATAAATCATTAGAAAAAAAATAATTTTCTGAATTCTATTGAGATCGAAGTGGTTTATTAAAATAATGAAATAATTGAAATAATAATCACTTATAACTCGGAAGATAACTTCAATTATATTTTATAAAATTGGATTGACATGTTATTGAAACCAAAAAATAAGCATAATATGGCATAATCATTATAAAATCCAGTGCTAAATAATGCCTAGACATATAATCCAAGTAGATAAAAAACTTTATCAAATTCTTATAATTATCAAGTTTAACCAATATTTCTATCTGAGAATTTTAGCCCATGCTTTAGTTGCATTATCCTTCTAAATTTTTCTCCTACTGCAACTATATCTAAATAATAATATTTAGCAGAATTGGGGAATGTGATACCTTCCTTCCATCTAGAATGAATCAAGCTTCAGTGCTTCTTGGACAAATATTTTTCAATCAAATTGCAATTGTAATCCTTTTCCTTAACTTTCATTGCTTCAATTACGAAGCTGACCGTAATAATAATTTTGGATAAACTTTTATTATTTCTTTATAACTTAATCTCCCATAACTCAACTGTGATGTCTGTAATGTAGATGCCTGATGTTCTTTCGCGAAAATCAACATCTAGAACAGTATTAAAAGGATCCTAAAAATTTATTTAATGAATAATGTCGGATGTACCTGATCTCAAATGCATTCTAAAAATCAATAATAAATACCTGATTATTTTTCGATTGTCGTTTTCATTCCCAATGCGGGTATGTTCTAGGTATAGTTTGATTTGGGACGAAGTGCAACACGTTCTAATTAGATTAAGTTAAAAGTTAAATTTTGTTGATTATTCTACTTAGTTACTAATAAATCTTACTTTCTGCTTTTTCTGCAAGATCGTGGAGATTTTTTAATACTTACAATCATCAAGTGGTTAGTGATCGAATAAAGCTTATATATAATTCATGCTTGTCTCGCATTTTTTGTTTCTAATAAGAAGTGTGAAATAATTCATTAAGTAAGAACCAGATATAATAAAAACCATTTCATAATATTTTACGTTCGCTTACATAGATGTAATTTGAAAGTATATGAACACGATGTGTTAGAACAAATGCCTGAGAATCGTAAAGTGCATTTTCAGATGGAAGTAATTTCGTGGCATCGCAAGCCAATGTTTCAAATTTCGAAGTATAGTGTGAACCTTGTGCCTTTGATACTTCGAAATGTGCCTACAATTCATACGTCTCCACAATCCATTCTCATGAAATCGAGTTTGTTTTAAAATTATTAATCATGTAGGTATTAATGAGTTAATCATCCAAAAAGCAAATAATGATTTTACTGTAAAAAGATCACGTTCACTTACAAATTTATCACGACTAATTTACCGGAAACGGATTATGCAAATGTGTTATTTTGGTGATTTACGAAAGGTTGTAAGAAAAAGATACAAGAATTCGAGAAAATATAAACGGAGAATGTAATTACAGTCACGTTTACAAAATTTGCTATGACTCACCGTTGACTACGGGAATTTAACGATAACGCGAATACTGTTTTCCTGGACGCCACAATATTTTATGTTGCGCTTTGTATAATATATATCAAGTAATCAATCTTAACCTAAGGATTTTGGCTTTTACGTTGCCAGGAATAGAAATAGAGTTATGGTTTCCAATGGTAACGGAGGGCATCAAAGTGTAACAGGCGTAACGATAATGGACATTTTACGCGTTTAATTGTACATCAAACTCAAAAATGGGGAAAGGGGGTAAAGAAAAAATTTTTTTTTGCTGTATTGGGAAAAGAGTGAATAAAAGATTGCAGAGTTAAAAATCTTTACGTAAACGACGATTTCTCGAGATAGTTTTATTTTATAAAAGTTTATTATCATGTCATCTTTTTATGTGTATTTATAAATCAAACTTTCGTTTTATTTTTTTGTTTAAAAAAGGGGAATTTTTTAAAAGGAGGGAGGACATTAATATATGTTATGATTAATATTAAAAAATTATTAGATCATAAATTAAAGTAAAAACTGCAAAATAGACCGTCTCCCCAAAGATGAAACATGGCAAAAAAAAAAATTTATTCGCTTGCTTTTCTTCTCTTATTCGAATGCGAGCGAATGGTATAATCTGGTTTTTGGTCATAACCCACCATATCGATACGTAAATTTTTCTTAACCCTTTGTTTATCTTTCGACGATTTGACCTGACTTTTATTTGAAATCTTTCTAACTGGTTTTGGAGATTTCACTTTGCGAACGGTAGTTCTATTTTGGACTTCCTTCTTATTTTCGTTATCCTTCTTTTTATCATCAAAATCAATGACGGTTGCCGGAGGAGCATCTTCAAAATCGAAGTTCATATCAAAATACGGAGGTTCAACTTCTTCGGTATTTCCGGTTCTTTCATTCTCTTGCTTTAACATGTCGTATTGATATAATCTGCTAAAAAATAATTCGAGCGAGTTCATAGTAACGTGTATCCGTTGAATAGGAAACGATAGAAAAGGTATTATAGTGAAGATAACCTGTTAATATCAAAAGAAAAATGTTTTTTTTTTATTTCCTTATTTAATGAATTTTTCAAAGGGAATAATATTTCTGAAATTCTGATCAATCCATATGAAAAAAAATTTTATTATTGTACTTTTATGCTGATACGCCGGTTTTATGCGTTCCCAATTTTAGACGGTAATGTATACTGTAGAAACAGCTGATCTCGGTAAAATCCTTATGCAGAGATATAAAAGTAAGCACGTGGACTTAAAAATGCCAAAATACAATAATTTTCTGTCATGAATTGATTTATCATTATTAAGAAGAAATGCATCAATTAATCGAAATTTGTACTTTAAATATGTTTTAAAAGGAAACAAGTTGTAACATCGTGTATGAAAATTCATCATTTACAAAATATTTCCAATAGGTTTAACTTGACTAAATAAGAAAAAACGTTACTTTTTTATTGAATCAATGAATTCATTCATCTATATACGATGATAATTATTGGATAAATTTTATAATGTGGCGAAGGATGTGGCTTTCGTACTACGATCATGATCATTTCCATTTTATTTACAAGAATTATTTGTAATTTATTTGTCCACTGATTTTATTCGTTTTTGATCAATTGTGCATGCATTCGCTATATATTCTTGGTTCTGGACATGGACTATCAAAATGGTGGTTCATTTTTAATAGCTAATATTTTGTTAATGGAATAATATTACTATTACAAAGTATTTTTTGAAATAAATATCAATAGATGTTTTCTTTCTTGGATCTATTGGAAAGTCTTAAATTATCATATATAAAAAAATAAAGTAATTTCAATTTATCATACAATTTCCATATGGGTGATCGGCTATTTCTAGTAAATCATATGATCCGTAAGGTGATTTTAATAGCCATATTATAGTTTACAGAAAAATCATGCATTTATCCTTTTGATTACAAACTATTTAAACTAAAAATCTTTTTTTTTTTCATGTAACGATTCATCATCTCCAAACTTAATTTTTATCTTCACAATATCCACGAGTTTATGGGTTTCACTTAAATGGATTTTCCAAAATTTTTGTGAATTATTAGTTTAATTGTAAAACGATTTGCTTGTTTTTCTTCTACCATTAATGCCTTTCGACAAAAAAAAGTACATAATAAATTTAATAAAAAATTTACAATCACCAATACCATCGTACATACAACCAGCTATCGCAACAATTGATGAAGGGGAAAGCGATGTGGGTATTGAGAGATATAAGTTGTCCATTTATTGGGTTGCATTATACATGGTTTTACATCGATTGGGATCCCTTACTTCACGACTGCAGTCGGCTGTTATGTCGATGCAAATGTTTAATTGGCCTGGCTTCAATTGGTAAAGGAACAAATTGGAAAGGCTACGTTAAAATCTTGATCCCTATTTTCGATTTTTAACATTAACGTTGTATGGTATATGTATGATGCCAGGGTTATGAAGAAAGTCTTTCAAATAAGAATTCAGCTACTTAATGCGTTAGAAGAACTAATGTTTCGGGCAAAACTAATTTCGCTCAATTTGATCTGCAAAGAGTTTCCAAATTAAGGTTTCGGATAGTTCCGGACATATAAGGTAAAACCGAAATTTCACTGGGCGAAAAGTTTGAAATGGTTTCTACCGAAACACTAAGAAGAACCAAAGAAAATGATCAACCAAAACCTTTCTAATTGATATATATAATTCCAGACCAATGCAATGTATTTTGGTTAAAATACATATTATCTCAATTATGAAATCAAAAACATTTTATTTTTTTCATCCTTTAGATAATATATTTTGTAGTTGATCAATGAAGTTTCATCGATAGTGATCGGATACATTAGAATCGTGTGATTTTTTAAAAAATTCCGTATGGTCAATTTTGTAGGCACCTGGCTTATATCTTTTTAAAAGTTACAGCAGTCGCTTAGTGTAAACAATTACGCGGCATATAACGAATCAAACATTTTGTATATAAATTGTATTTATTATTGGTTAAGACATTTCCTTGTGGGGCATCACTAACTAGGCTTGCTTTTTTTTTGGTTAATAACTGTAAATAGCAAACCTGGAAGATTTACAGGCTAAATATATTGTTAAACCCGTTAATTTGTCAGATATTTTTGGTTATTTTTCATGGGGCGGTCAGGTTCGATCATCTCTATATTTAGTAAGCTCAGCATGCAAATAAAACAATAGTGGAGTAGGTTCAGTTTTTATATATACCAGAAAGGGAAGGAATAAAAGTGGTATTATTATTATGTTATTTTTGTTTTTTGTTTAATGTTATTTTTAACCGATAATCAAAATCCTTACAATCAGAGAGATATGCACACTTTTATTTAGGTTTGATTTCTTATGGAAACAAGTGAAAGCTAGTAAATGACCGATAATAAGAGATGTTTACAAAGAAATATGCAAGATAAATTGATTTTAAAAAAAGTTCTCACAATTTTAAATGAGTGGATAAAAAGCGTTTAATTTAAAAAAAAAAATATTTTCTTTTTGTGATTGCCCATATACTAAAAAAAGGTTATACAACAAAGTAAATTTAACATTAAATAATCTATTTATGAAAAAGATTCAAAACGAATAAAAGAATAAAAGATAATCTAGAAACAATTGTAAATTTTCCGAACCAATGATTTTGAAACGTAATCATTTTTCAACATGACGCGTACCTCATCTATAGCCAATAATAAATTTTCCGACAAAACGTGAGAAATTATAATAAAAGAAAAGAGACCAACAAAGTGACAATAAACGAGATTATCCGTAGCATTGGCAGTCATAGATTTGAGTATATTGACGCCAACAGTTCTAATTATAGAATAAAGAAAACTGCAAAATGAACCTAAAAGTAGAAACTTTGAAAGGAATCTGCAACATTTTTTTTCTTATGCAGAAGGACCCCCCTTATCGCAAAATGAAACAAGAATTCCCCCAAGCTAAAAAAATTTTTTTTCTAGAAATTAATGAATGGGGTGTTTTAATTTAGGTATATTAGTTCATTAAAGGTGTATGACGTTATGACCTTACTTATATATAAATGAATCGAAATATCTTGTCAGAATCTATAATCCTTATACCTTTTCAATTATCATCATTCAGTGACTTTTCTAATGACAAAAAAATAAGAATAATAATAATGTTGAGCATTACTTATAATTTAGAGGAAAATCTACCTCGAGATCGAAATTAAAATAAATGTCGATTCGCCGCTAAACTTGTAAATAATGGAACTATATCGCAAAAAATCCTAACGACAAATCGGCAAGACACATGCATATTTTCACGGAATAGGTTGGGACCAACTTTCATCAATAATGATGTATAAGGTTTTTCCAGGTACTTGGTACAAAGACTATTAAGGATTATGGGTGTCAATATCTAGAACTGAACGAACACAAGTTCATATTCAACGTAATACAACCCGACACTCGCTTGGAACAAAATAAAATTAGAAATTCTTGGGCAATAAATTTGACACTTGCGTATTTAGTTTGATTTTACAACAAGGAGTTCGTCAATTTTCCGAAACATTGCCTGTTAAGGTGAACGATATGGAATTATTTCAGTAGGCACTATTGCAATCAATTAAGCTTCCCAAGAGTTGAAAAAGAATACATTCGCATAAAATATTTGATCATAAAGGATATGTTTGTGCCATTCCCAGAACGTTCATATGCACCTTCATAAAATTTAAAAAAACATTACCGTAAGAATATTTGAAAACCAAAAGTTTCAAATCAAGATAATAAATCAGCTACATCGACCTAAATAAAACTCGAGCTTATTTTTGGAAATACAATGTAAAAACACTTTTTAACATCGAAGAACGCAGATATTTTCTTTTAAATCTTGGAAATGCATGATTTCATGTAATTATATTTTGACAATTTGAATTTTTGAGTACTATCTCGAAGTACTTTCTCAACTAGATCCTTTGTAGATTTGACAAGTTTCTTCAAGTCTAGCATGCGTTAATGAGTATAGAATCAATTTAATTAGACGTTTATAGTGATGCTGATAAATCACACAGATGTTTTCTACTTTTCTAAACTACTCGAGTCCTTGTACAAAAAGGATTCACACTGCCAAATGTATTATTCTTTGCTAATTTTCCTGAAATCAGATTGGCTCAAAATTAGCAATTTTTTTGTCTTATATTTATTGCTAAAGTTAAGCACTTAGCATCGTTGATAATGAACAAAATTTTTCTAAAAGTTGATTTATTTTAGCGATTTTTATCCTTAAACAATTATAGCAAATATTTTTTAATATATAATCGTATTTAATTATAATCAAGGATTCTATCAAAAATTATTTTCGTAGATCGACTCTTCTCGTAACCAGCCAATTTAAACATAAAAGCAACACCGAAAACACTACATAATTAGTAAATATCAGTAAAAACCATATCGTATATAACAGAGGATTGTATATATTAAAATACTTACTTGTAATACTTATAATCTCCAAGAAATAAAAGTAATGTGAGGTTCTACATCAATTTAAATTGTTAAATTGTTACGTTTGTTTGTACCCGAAATATGCAATTATTAAAATTGATATGTACTCAACTGCGACGGCAATTCCAGTCTTCTAAAATTCTTTGCATTTAAATTGCTGTATAAATCCAGAACTTTCAATTTTATGCTTATTCAAGGTACAAATTGAGTGTGTTAAATTTCTATTGTCACTATCAATATTTTACATTTGGTAATAAGATTCCATATTATCAGCACGAGCATCTGCTAATGTTTTAAAGTATTAACTTGCCGAAGTAATATAAGTTCAAAATTATAGTACAATTGATTTAAAGGTTCTGTGTACTATTTATTTATTTCCTTTACACTAGGGTGTCCATTGACAATTCTTTTACGATTTTGTGTTGACGACATTCAAATTTGATTGGGTGATTAAGTCGAACACATGATCAAAATTTTCATCCTAGGTTTTTACACTGAAATTATGTTGATTTCAGCCGGAATTATAATCGCGATTTTTGCGCGATTTTTGCGATAAAATCACGCGCGAATTTTGGACCATACCGCCAACCCATCTTGGACACCCTATTTTACACCAACAGCTGTATTAACACACGTTGAATATTGACGTGCAAGCGTTGGCTTATATGAAGGTTTGTGAGATTTTGAAAATTCGTGGGAAATATCAAAAAAAAAAAATATACTTCAATTAATCCATCTGATCTGTTAATAGCTAATGAAAATCTTTTTAGCCTTTGCAATAAGTTCCCAAGATAAATAAATTATAACATTAATTTGGCAAAAAAGATTCAACCGGATTTTTGTTTTATCTAAAAAAATAGCCTTGATATCATTAATTGTTAAACAGATCTTTAATAAAAAGAAAATATCATCTAATACGTAATAAATTTGACATCATAAACGAATGTCTATGTAAATCTGGGTTTGATAAACACTTAAGTATTTTTATTAATATTTTTTTGTAATTTTTATAAATCATAAATTTCAATTTCAATTTTTCAATAATCATAAATTTTAAATTTTTTTTAAAAAATCTTAATTTAAAGTATATATTTAAAATTAATAAAATAATTATGAAATATATAAGTATAAAATTTTATAGATTTAATAAAATAGTAATTTTAAAAGAATTATAATTACTAGTAATTAATTTTTTAAAAATATTGAATAATATATACTTATAACTTTATATAAGATCTGTAAGCTTATACAAAATTATATTTAAAATATATATATAAGTAAATTAAACAAACTTTTATTTAAAAATAATGTAACTTTAATAAAAAATTAAAGAAAATTTTCTAATTATTATACTTAATAATATGCAAAAATATATATTTTATTTTTTATTAAATTAAAAATATAATTTTAAAGTTATTTTTCTAAAAAGTCATATTATTAATATTATTAAATATATAAAGTAAATTTTATTTTATTAGTTTATTTTCTTTTTTTATTGCAAAATATTTATATTATAAAAAATATATAAAATCATAATTTAAATTAAATAATATAATAATTTATAATATATAAGCAATCTTACCTTTTTTATTATTTAACTTTTTTTATCTAATGAATTTATTTCTTCATATATTTTGAATTAGGATACTTGTTGTATTATATTACTTTTTTAATAATAAATATATATATTTTTTTATAAAATTTTTATTTTAAAAAAAATTATAATAAATAACTATTTGATTTATCACTTTTAATTACTAAAATTATTATTATTATTATTATATAAATTATATAAATAAAAAAAAATATTAATTAACTATTCTAATTATATAATTAAACTAGAAAATAGGGATTATTGCTAAGTTTGAAATAAGTATAATATAAGTAACCAATCACGTATGACTCAATTTATGAGTGGGCAGACAATAAGACATCTTCTCATATCTTGAAACATATATAATCTTTCACTTATACTTTGGGCTAATTAATAATTTATACTTTTTTTTACAAATCATTTTTAAATATTTAT